CCCCGCTTTTACCCAGGTTATAGTGACGTTTTAAAAAAGACCTAAAGTAATTTATTTCTATTTTATAATGAAATAATAAAATGAGTATACGTTAATGAAAAAGCAACAACCAAATAACCTACGTATTTATAATATGGACACGAATGATAGTTCCAGTAAAAGAAAAAAATTAAGCTTGATAGGGATGGACAGTTTTGGGGATTGGGCACGTTTGGGTATTCATTAAAAAATGGACACGTTTGGGCATTTATACAAACGACACGCTTTGGCGCCCTTTTACATTTAGACATGTTTTGCAGTTCAGTGACGTCATGTGGACACCTTTGGGGGAATCGGACACGTTTGGGGGGAAGGACACGATTCTGAGTGTTACATATATCTGCAACTTTTTTCATTCTTTAAGGTATAAATTTGTTATTGATGGATGATAACAGTCTATAACTTGAGTATAAGATTTAAATATTGTCACTGGATTAATTGAGTGTGATACAATATTTCTCCTCTTGAACCAGTTAAATTTTCAAATGTGGAACTTGTCGAGCATTTTAAATACTGTAAATTCAGAAATTATTGCAATTTTATCATTTTAGACTAAAATGCAATTTTAATTTTTGCGATATTGAGAAAAGTCCTGTTTAATTCATATAAAAATTTTCAAAATGGAGTTTAAATTATTGCGATTATAACCCTGTCGCATTTTTCGCAGTATTAAAAACATGGCAATAATTTCTGAATTTACAGTATTCATGATTTAACTGTAGAGAGTAGACATTATCTGGGCAAACTATTAGATAAGTTGAAAAAAAGACTTTTAGTTTTCAAGGCTTTCAGGTCATTTTAACATAATTCAAAAAAAAAAAATGGGAAGTTTATGCGATCTTTTTGACCCAACCTTTTGCCTTAAACAGCCACACATTTCTGGTTATAAAAGTGACATGATGATTAAGTACAAAAGTTGTACTATCAAAACAAACCCTACTTTAATACCTTCTCATTTTAATCAAGGTTAATTAGTTGTCGGACAGCTGAAATTTACCTGTTTAGGCAACAGGTAAACTATTTTGTACTGGACATTGATCGGTCTATTCAGAGTTGATTTCTTACATTTCAGCGGTTTGCATCTAATTAATTTAGTCAAAAAGGCGCAGGTATTTTAATTCAGTCACCGATGTGTTCTAGTATATATATGATGGAGACACTTGCTATTATATTGACCTCTCATTCTCTTTATAGTTTTAATGTGTTGTTTGCTTGCTGTATCATTTAACATATATACCCTTCTTCTACTATTATGTCTAAGGAATTATTTGTTGGTAATCAATTATTTAGAGAACCAGTCATCCCTTCTGATTGATGCCTGTCTTCTATATTGTTATTTAATATACAAACAAATTTCACAATGAATCACCCAAACTTGTGAAAAAAATCACTAGACACATGATTTTTAACTGAGTCACTTGATGTGTGCTGTGTATAGCTTAGGTTGTGACTGACTTTTGTAGTAGACAATTAGATTAATGGAAGCTGAATGTCCATTGGCAAATATTACATGCATATTTTGAACAATAACAAGTTAAAAATGGGTAATGAGATAGGAATACTAGACCAACACACTGACCCAGATTTTCTTTTTTTAGTGCATTTATCTGATTTTTGACTGCTAAGCCGTCTCTTTTTTTTCAGTAGCCCCCCCCCCCCCCCCCCCTTTTGGACATCACTTTTTCTAAAGTCCTAGCTCTACCACTGTTATTAATATTATTTACAATCCTCAGGTTTGAGTTGGACCAAATTGAATTACAGTAGGATTATCATTAGGGCAATTAGTTTCTCGGTATACCACCGGGTCACACTGTGTTGGGAGAGATGTTGCTTTCACAATAAACAAAATGTAGCGAATTTACGCGGTAATCGGAGAAAACCCTCCCAATTTCCACCAAGAATTTAGGGACAGATATCGGAGTTTCCTGGTGTGTCTGAAAATAATTGCAGTGTTTGGAGTTTGGGAAGCTCTTCGTTTTTTTTTGTACTGTAAAACAGCAAGTCCCTTCTCTTCAATAAAAATGTTATTGTGTTGGACATAAAAATACAGGTTGACCCGCTACTTTTATTTATTCTATTCTATCATTTTGAATTAATCACAACCTTCAGTGTAGGTGTATTTTGCAGGGTAATACCCATTGTTATATTTGTTTCTCATGTACCTTTCTGTTACACAAATTTCTTCATTGGAATCCCAATTTGAATGGAAAAGGGAACCTTTCTTTTATATTTATATTTCATATTTCAGTTGGAATTTTTATTTGAAAAGAAGCACAGAGTATTTTTATTTTATTTTATACACATGTTTATTCCACATTTGAAAACACATTTTACAAAAGGTACCACCTATATCCATTCATACACAGAATGGCACACCAAATTTATGTACTTTTTATACTGCCCACAAATTTATGATGTGTATAACGAGGTATATCATCCTCTAAATTACACATACTTGGCATTCCAGTAATGTTTTGTTTATTTGCTAACTGTTTAATCAATAAACATTTTCTAAGTACTTTCCTTTTATCAGACTTGTAATTTAAATGCAATCAACATCATTTTTTTTTGGAATTAAAATAAAAGCAGTCTGCAGTTGTATGCCACAATTTGTTAGAGATCGCAGATCTAAATATAGTAACATTTGATACAGAATTAGTAACATTTATTGTTATTTATGTAACATATACAGAGTTCCTCAAGTGCATGAAGTAGCAGAAGACACAATGGTAGAAATGTATATATCCCCTAGAGGACATTAACCTACTTGTGATATTTTATTGATACATGTGTAGAATGGTATAGGGATTAATGACTAACCTATGAAATTATTACAATACTAGGGGAAGATGTTGATACTCATCTTATGTCCTGTATTCAATTTTCATTATTTTAATGATTTTCTTGGAAGTTTTAATCTTGATACTCATCCCTTTTCTTGACTTCAATTTTTCTTTTTTAAATGATTTTTTTGGCAGTTTTTATTTAAACCAACTGCTAATTGGATTAACATCATCATGTACATGAGTTTGTGGTCATGTTTTTGGTACTTTCTTATGACGTTCATAGATTTTGTGTAATAAACAAATAAGTTAGATAAGATTTCAGAAAACAAGTTGTTTTTGAGGTTTTTTTTATATATACATGATGATATATATTAACCTAGGCCAATTAAAGTAAGTTCTCCCAATCTCCTGTTTGTCATTTTTTTGGGAGACATTTGTGAAAATTGTGTTTAATCTATTTGGTTCACATTGTTTTCCTTAGAAATATTGAATACCATCAATACTGTGGATTCATTTGTTTTCATCGGTACCATTTAACATTGATAAGAGGAAAAATAATATTTCCATGGCTATTGATTACTTGGTTTCACCATACATTTTACAAAGTCTGTTTCTGCAGATACTGAAAATGTTGAAGACCATATGGTGCCCTCTAGATATCGTTTGGTTATTTGGTGTTGCTGGGTAGCTGCCTCTTTGATGTATACCACACATATTCTTTATTAAGATATAATTCAGAAAACCATAGAAACCACCCTCTAGGATGCTTGACCATCCTACTGATGTGAAGATTATCTAAAATATTCTATTGATTTTAGTGTAAAAACGTTCCAATTATCACTTCCCATGTCATGATATATAATAATGATACATAGATACATGTATATACCACATGTTTACTATGAGTGATTAATACAGGATGTCCAATATAAAATCACGATTCAGTCGTGTATTATTATCTTCACACTAAAATTATCACTTCCTAATTTTTTTCACTTTTAAGTTTTCAGGGAAAATCCCATTTCTGTCGTGAAACTGTTACCAAGATATCTTTTATGGATGTGTCATTGCTGTTAGAATATACTATGTCTGCCTTTGTATTACATCATTTGAAAAAAGATGGTGTATAGATATAAGAAGATGTGGTATGAGTGCCAATGAGACAACTCTCCATCCAAGTCAAAATTTATAAAAGTAAACCATTATAGGTCACAGTACGGTCTTCAACACGGAGCCTTGGCTCACACCAAACAGTAAGCTATAAAGGGCCCCAAAAAAATTACTAGTGTAAAACCATTCAAACGGGAAAACCAACGGTCTAATCTATATAAAAAATGAGAAACAAGAAACACTTATGAACCACATCAACAAACGACAACTACTGAACATCAGATTCCTGACTTAGGACAGGTGCAAACAAATGCAGCGGGTTTAAACGTTTTAATGGTACCACACCTTCACCCTTTTTCTGTATGTCTATGAAACATTGAATTAAATGTTCTTGGTTCTTCTCTATGGTTATGTATGGCATTCCTCTGACCATTTACAAAACAGGTTTTAGATGGCAGAGAAATGTCAGTGCTATTTATACCCTCTATGCTAGACATAGAAATATCAATGTGGGTGCTGCCGTCCATCTTTCAATGGCCTTTGTCTGCTTGAATTCTCAGTTGTCTATTGACCACTGGTCTTGGTGATTTTTCCAGTCTGATGAATAGATCTCATAAATGCATAAAATGGTTAATAATTATAATTCTAGTGTTTATGTATGTTTTGAAATAAAAATCTACAATGGGATTATTTATGACCTACTTTTTATACTCGAGTGACTTGAAATGAATAAATCACTGCATGCATGGTTGTACAAAACAGCCAAACATAATTTTAGTAACTATAAGCAATGATGAGTTCAAATTTATTTATTTGAATGACTATTCAGTTTTTCAAACTCTTTTATTCAATTTGTTTTTCCAGAAATGCTTACTGGTATATAGAGGTAAGGGTATATTGTTGCAATCATATTTCACAAATACAGGCTTGTTGTGTAGTACAATAGAATTTGCTAACATTCATTCAGGTCACAATGCCCTATTTTTCATGGTTTAAAGACTGCTCTTTATGGAATTGGTCTATTTTCAAACAGTATCTTTAAAATTTTTCAATCTTCCATTTCAGAGCCACCAAAAGAAAGAGTGTTCAAAGAGAAGGAAGGACTTCTTAATCGACGACGTGGTGCTATGCGCCGCAGAGTTCACCAAATCAATGGGCACAAATTTATGTCAACACTATTTAGACAACCAACATTTTGCTCATTATGTAGAGATTTCATATGGTAAGCAAAGACATTCTTCATGAATACTGTGGATTCATTAATATTCGTTGGATACCAATTTTCGTGGATTTCGTGGGTACAGGGGAACCACGAATTTAAATGCTCAACGAATTACAAATTTTTTAAAGGAAGGTATGGAGACTTTGCCAAAACCACGAAATTTAATATCCACGAAAATGCAAGTTTTCCTCAATCCACGAAAATTGGTACCCACGAAAATAAATTAATCCACAGTATAGAAATAATGTCATGTATGTGTTATGATTATGATTAACCGGAAACTTGTATGTCGTTTGGTCTCTGGTGGAGAGTTGTCTCATTGGCAATCATACCACATCTTCTTACTTTTATATGAATAAGAGAACAATTCTGTACACAGTATATATACACAAGGTAATTTCACTTTCAGAAATTAGATCTCCAATAGACAATAGTATTAGTAAGTTTTGCTGGGATTGGTTCATGGACATGACTATTTATAAAAAGTGATATTTCACAGTGATTGTTGGTGATTGTGTTACAGTCTCAATCTTTATAATTCATGAATATTAAATGAAGAATGTTTTAAATCTAAGAGTGTTATCACTGGAATTCAATCACCTTCAGTCACCCTGTTTCTTTTGTGATTCACCAGCAAGAGTGAGTGTAGAATGTAGATAAAAGGAGGTGAATGAGAATTTTGTTTTTTTGCCCTGTTTATGCTTGATAGGGGGTATTATTATTTTTGATCTGTTTGTCCCTCCGTCTGTTATTCCCTCCCTGTCCTTGATCAGGTTTACAATTTGGTTTCAGGAAGTTCACTGTGAAGTTGTGGTCACATCAATTTGAAACTAAGTACACATGTTCATGATGATGAGAACTTTTAAAAATATGCCAAATTAGTGTATTGACCTAGATTATGTAGTTCACTGGACATGGACAATATGTGAGTGAGCAGGACATGGTTACCTATGGACACATATTCTTGCTCATTTGTGAAATAGCATTTAAAAGTACATCTGTATAACCCAAATTGAAATGAATAAGACAGAAAAAAATGCATGTTGAGCCAAGAAAAATATTTTACCTGCGTTGATATGTTGTCAAACTTGAGATTTAAATTATATCATATGTTTTTTTAAATACTGCATGGAACTTATACATGTTATATAAACAGTGATTATTCTTGAGCAAATATTCATTCAGAAATAAGGCCTTAGTCAGAACTTTTATGTGGTTAAAATGGAATATGTAGAAAAAGTCAAATGGTTCATCTGAGACAGTGTTGTATTACATGTACTTGTAAATTAAACTAGTTCTAAAGATATTGATTCAAACTTTATTACATGTTATAGATTGAATAAAGGAGTTTTCTAAAAAAAATTATGAATGTTTTTATGAACATGATGAATGAGAACGTATAATGGTGAAATGTTCAAAAAATTACCCATAATAAGATCACCATAAGTTACATGTTCGTCTGGGTGTGCGTAGTGGTGGTTGGAAAAGGGGGGGTGATGGTATTTACCATTTTTCTACAGCATTTTTACAATTATTCTTTTTAAAGATAAAACATGGAGTATATTAATTATTACCTGACTGTTTAATTTCAGGGGTCTATGGAAACAGGGCTATCAGTGTCAAGGTAAGATATTCATGTTTTAGGTCAAATCAAAGAAATTGAAGATTATGTAAATACATGTAGATCTATGAAAGTTTCATTTATGACAAGTTGATATATCTGTTAAATAAACAAGCATACAAAAAATATACTTAAGACATATCTAAATATGGTTTTTAGGCACACTGAATTACGTGTTATATGTACTATTTTAGGCACGCTGAATTACGTGTTATATATACCATTTTATGTAGGATGGACTGAAATAGCACTTTTTGAACTCCAGATAAATGAATAACATAGAAATAAAAAGATGTGGTATGAGTGCCAATGAGACAACTCTCCATCTAAGTCACAATATGTAAAAAGTAAACAATTATAGGTCAAAGTATGGCTTTCAACACGGAGCCTTGGCTCACACAGAACAACAAGCTATAAAGGGCCTCAAATGACTTGTGTGAAACAATTCAAACAGGAAAACTAACAGTCTAATCTATATAAAGAACGAGGAACAAGAAACATACAAATATATGGAAACCTGATAAATAATGGCATGTTAAATAAACCGCTTTCAGAACATAAAAAAAACATTTAGAAATCTATCCTCCATCCTTTTCCATAGAGAATTTGCCTGAAAGTGAACAAATTTATTTGTATCCCTTCACATCATAAACATTATTATCATTTTTGTTGGCTCTTCTTCAAATTGGCATAAAAGTGTCCACTATTATCTTTATAATGAATGGTGCGGGAAGGTTTGAATTATGAAAGTCAGAGGTTCTTTATATAGCATCAGTGTAAAGGATCAGAGGTCCTTGACCTTTAGAATTCTAAAATGAAGTCTCCTCTCTAATAAAACATGTTACAGACCTCATAATGTCACAGACCTCATAATCACACCGGTTTTAATCCCTGAGTATGGTATATTGCTCACTTCAGGTTTTTGTGAAACCAATTTAATGTACCCCCGCTTTAAAAAAGTGGGGGTATAATGTTTTACCGTTGTCTGTCTGTCCCATAAATATATTTCGTCGCATCTTTCTCAGGAACTACATTACAAGGATTTCTGAAATTTGGTTTCAGGGTTTATATGAGTCAGCTATACCGTGTGATGCGTTTTCAGATTCATCAATCAACAACTTCCTGCTTACCTTATACTTTCAGCGGGCAGAGGTATCATTAGTGAGCAGTAGCTCACAGATTCACTTGTTGTGTTATGTTTTGCAATATTCCAGTTTTCATATTGCAATATGTTTCAGTACATTAGCAACTTGTCATGGTTATCAGTAGATTTATTGGGTATTATGGGACAGGAAGCTTTTCTTGAAATATTTTTTAAGTTAATAAATTAATTTTTCATATGGGACCTTGTATGTACTATATTTAGATTTCAAGCAATTTTGTTCTATTTTCAGTCTGCACATGTGTTGTCCATAAGAGATGTCACAGTCAAGTTGTCACCAAATGTCCCGGTTCTAAACAAGTACAGAATGATGAAGTAGTAAGTATTATCAACATTATGACTGTCTTCAAATGATTCGTTTCCCTCCCCATTCCATTCTCTCTCTTCTTATGTCACATGGAAGTAAATGCATTTGAAATTTAATATAACCAGAGGTTTAAAATAGCGGTGGTCTGAAGTCAGTGACCTTCCATTTACGGGTTCGGACCATTCCACCGGTAGTTAGTTACACCCAACGGACTTTTGTATTTTTGCAGGTTAAAAAAATTACAAAAGCATTTTAAACAAAAATATAAAAATCTAGTATAAAAATAATCTTAAAATATCCAACTATATTGAAAGGAAACTTATGTGATTGCTTAAATTCTTCACAATTGATTTGATGTGTAGTCATGTGACCGGTCTTCGTACAAGATACCGGGAAACTAGAGAATATAATATTAGAACATAACTAGTAAAGGGCATGAGTCTGTTTGGCTTTGGGGTGACCTCTTCCAAAAGAAACCCTGTGAAACATGAGACAGCGGGTGTGATTGATGTAACGGCTTAACGCAGACCAAAGACAGGATCTGACTAAAGACCAAATATATGACTGGGAAAAACGAGAAAGTAGATTTTTCCCACACACAGTAAAAGGGAAAGTGTTCTGGTTCGTTGGACAAAAACTTAAAACTTTACCCCATAAAAAATCATGATGAAAAATTTCCTCCCAGCATCTATATATCTTGCCAAAATATGTGGTTAAAAGAAACTGACCCAAAGTTTGAAAACGAAACTGTTATCTGACACAAAGTTAGGCCACAGTGTTCTAAAGCAGCAATTGAAACCAAATTAAAAGGTACAAAGTGTTATTTTACACAGCGTTTAGTGTTGGGGAAAAAGGCAGCCTTTTTCTGACTGAATTTATTACAGAAATTCAGAAAAAAATGAGGTTAATGTAGTAAGATATGATGAATGCTTTGGAATGGTAAGCATTTTCGTTTTTTTATAAATTGAATTTTCAATAAAAGTTGGACCTTCAAAGAATAAAGGAGGACCTTTAAGTATTTTTGCTCAAAGGTCCTGGACCTCCCATTGTCTAAAGTAAATTTGAACCCCTGTATAACTGGAATTCGCCACAGGTAAGGCCTGACACCTGGAACACAATAAAGACACTGACAAGAAATTTTGAAAATATATTTAGAATTTAATCCCATAAATGGAACATAAAATATTTTATTCTCTGTCATTACTGATGAAAAATTTTGCTAAAACATCATAATTTATATTTGCAGGTTTCTGGTCAAAGATTTAGTATAAACGTGCCACATAGGTTCAATATACACAATTATAAACGGCCAACTTTCTGTGATCATTGTGGATCTTTGTTGTATGGGTTAATAAGACAAGGATTACAATGTGAAGGTAAGGATACCTAGTTAATTAGGCAAAGATTACAATGTGAAGGTAAGGATACCTAGTTAATTAGGCAAGGATTTCAATGTGAAGGTAAGGATACCTAGTTAATTAGGCAAAGATTACAATGTGAAGGTAAGGATACCTAGTTAATTAGGCAAAGATTACAATGTGAAGGTAAGGATAACTAGTTAATTAGGCAAAGATTACAATGTGAAGGTAAGGATACCTAGTTAATTAGGCAAAGATTACAATGTGAAGGTAAGGATACCTAGTTAATTAGGCAAAGATTACAATGTGAAGGTAAGGATACCTAGTTAATTTATGGTAGATTACCTTTCTGTGTGGATTAATTATTAAGCAGAGGTAACATTTTATGGTAGGTTACCTTTCTGTGTGGATTAATTATTAAGCAGAGATAACATTTTATGGTAGGTTACATTTCTGTGTGGATTAATTATTAAGCAGAGGTAACATTTTATAGTAGGTTACCTTTCTGTGTGGATTAATTATTAAGGAGAGGCAACATTTTATGGTAGGATCCCTTTCTGTGTGGATTAATTATTAAGCAGAGGTAACATTTTATAGTAGGTTACCTTTCTGTGGATAACAAGTTAGAAATATCAATGTGTAGGCAATGGTAGGTAAGGTTACCAGTCTGTGGGATTTATTGGGTGAACATCTTGATTATGAATTTAAGTTTACCATGCAGTGTGAGTTGATAAACTCAGTTTATTCTGATTATCTTTCTTTCTTAGTGAGTGAAACGGACAAAAATAATAAAATGAAGATTTAGTTTGATTTTTTCCTGTTGTCAAAATTACTTGTTCTGTATCTATTGACAAAAAATCTTTTTGTTTTTGATTTGACCAGTTTTTAGGTGATGTTCCAATACCCTGAATGTGAGTAAGGTAATGAAAAAAAGAACATTGTGCTTGTTAGGTCATAATTCTTTGTTGAGAAATAAGGTAATGGGTACAGAACATTGTAGGAAGGTAAAGGCAAGTAAAATTAATTAGGCAAGTGTGAGGGTCGTTTAATAATTTTGTCTGTTCTAAGTATTGAATTTGATGTAATTGGCGTGAATGTGTGGAAAGTTGTATTTGTCTAGATGAAGAGTAAAAAAAAAAAAGCTGTTTGATAATAATTACCTCTGAAATAGTGTAAATTCAGAAAATTTTGCGAGGTTTTTATTAATGCGAATAATGCGACTGGGTGAGTATCTCTATAATAAGAACTCGCATTTTGATATCTGAACATATATCTGTATGCAGATTTTCCTTAAATCGCAATCATTAATCTTGCGTTTTTGTCCATTTTTAAAAAATTGCAATAATAAATGCACGCAATAATTTCTGAATTTACAGTAGTGAAAATTACTAACTTTAAACATAAACGGCAGATTCATTATTATTCGTGGGATACCAATTTTTGTGGATATCACAGATAGAGGTAAACCACACATTTTAATTTTAAACTAAGTACAATGTTTCCATAGGCTTGTATGCAGACTGCGGCAAAACCACAAAATCAAACATCCATTAAAATAACATTGTTCTTCAACGCAGGAAATCAGTACCCACGAAAACAAATGAATCCAGAGTAATTAGAGATTTACTGTGTTTAGTGATAAAGATAGCTGAAAAGATTTGAAATATTTTCACTGCTTTCAATAGGCCAAATAAGATATATCAGTTATTCTTGCTGCCTCAGCAACCCTGATTTTATGGGCCACATTTCTTATAAAAAACATTTCAGTTACAGCTCCTTTTCTACAGGAACATGCAATCATATGGATACATGTATTAAAAAACTTTTTTTTTTAATGAGTGGCCAAAAGTTCATACTGCAAACATTTTTTTGTCTTAGTATCTTGGAACTTTTGTACATGACTTCCTCAGTCTGCACCAAAATCTTTTCCAACTACTAGTCTGAAGACCAATATTAAGCCATTTTTCTAATGTGTCTAAACAAAGTTTTGCAAATACTTGTCCAAATAAAATTTTAATAGCCTGGGGCATCAGACTAGTGGCTACTGGAGCAGACGGCTTCCTTTTTTTGTTTTGAAAGATTCTTTATTTAAAAAAAAAGGTTCAGCACACTGCAAATCTGTCTTGCCTACATGCTGTGAAGACGGTTAAACAATTCATCACTATAAATCTCCTACTTTGTCCTCCTTTTGAGAGAACAACATCCTTACAAAGTGGATTTAGTGTAATCAACTAAATACCAATAACCAATACATAAACTTCATTTATATATACATGTACATTCATGCACTTTTATTAAGTCATTTCCTTTTTCCTGGTTGACTGTAGAACATCTGAAACAATATGACTTCAGTTCTAAGGTTAAAAAAATAATTGAGGGAAAATTATGTAATATGAATTTAAAGAAACTCATTTTCCTGATGAAGGAAGGATTAAGGACAAATCTCCTTAGAAGTTACTTCCTTAATTATTTTCCATTTAAAGAAGAAAATGATAATATGCAGATTGTTTGCTTGTCTGATCCTGAATTTATACAATTACTATATTCTCCTGCTCTATAGTAAAGCATGGATGTATAGTTATTGTTATAATTCAGTCCAAAGTATACAGGTTTACGTCTAGTTGAGTTTCAGTCCCTCCGTCCCATAGAAGTGTTGTCTCAGGAACTACAAACCAGGTCTTACTGAAATTTTGTATCGAGCCTTGTGTGAGTATCTTTTAGATCTCAGTTCAACATGTTCATAAATTCATAATACAATTTTAGTTTATTTACTTATCAAAGGTTATCTATCATAATACCAGAGTGCTATTTATAGTATTAGGTGATTTCAAGACCGTCATCTATCACTATAAGATTTTAACCATTGGTTGAAAATTAGCATGTAAAAAGGTTAAACATGGTTCTCTTGAATTTCAGCTTGGAATAAAATATTTTGACACCTGTAAAATTTGTAAAAAAATGTTGTCATATTTTTCATTGGTGATGTATATGACACCTTTCATTCATGCATTAGTCAACAGAATTGAGTTGAATTGCATTGAAAAATTGATTCATTTTGTTAACACAGATTTTACTTTCAAAAGTAGTCCATTTTCTCTGAACTTGTATACATTTTGTTTAGGGCCAGCTAAAGCCTGCCTCTGGGTGCGGGATTTTCTCGCTGTGTTGAAGACCCTTTGGTGGCCTTGAGCTGTTTTTGTTTTCTGCTCTTTGGTCGGGTTGTTGTCTCTTTGACACATTCCCCTTTTCCATTCTCAATTTTAACATCTTATGTTTTATAAGTTGGATATTTTTGTTGAATCTAGTGGCCTAATTTAAATACAATTTTGAAATTTGTTAAATGTAATATAATTTTACTTATTAGAAATCAGAGAAAAATTGTATAATTGGAGTAATGACCTAAAATGTTGTTTGGTGACCAGGAATGAGGTCAATTACTCTAAACAGTAAATGATTTTGTTACAATTACTTTGCTGATATAAAAATAAGGAGATGAGGTATGATTGCCAATGAGACAACTATCCACCAAAGTTCAAATAAAGTGGATGTAAGCAATTATAGGCAACTGTACGGCCTTCAACAACGAGAAAAACCCATACTGTATAGTCGGCTAAGTCAATGTTATCAATAACATTACAATTACGCCAATGGTGACCCATTTGAGTAGTGTTTTAATGAGCAGAGGTTTGATAATTTTTTTTAGTAAAATAAATTCATACAATGATAAAAAGATGATCATAGATTGTATATATTAGTTAAAAACATATTGAACTCTGTCATTTTCTTGTAGAAATCCAAACTTTTGTTGATAACTAGATACTGGTAACCAGATTGTCCGACATGACCTTCAGGTCACATAGAAAAGCCCTTATAATATCAGATACATTTCAGGACTATAACTTAATGTTGATTTATCCATTGTAGACCAGACATGTTTTACTCTTTGATATTTTGTTAATTAGATATTTGATATAGTTGTTAATAGATTTGAAATATGATGGTGTGTGGGAAGCCTTGCAGGTGCTTTGGATAATGTTGAACTATGCTACAATGTAATGTCACCTTAAGAATTAGGCTAACCATTGATGAACCATTGACATTCAAAATTCATTTATTGAACAATAGAGAAAGCAAAGGTCTTGAAATGGATATTATAAAAGTTAGATATGACTTGCAAACAATTAAATAAAATTAGTAATCAAATATTGAGGTTAATTATTGAATTTTATGACCTATTTTAAAAAAAGATATACCCATACTTTTTAGGGGATTACAACCTACTTAACAAGCACATGATTGCACATATTTTTATGTTTTGAGAATGTCCCTAGCATTAGGTCAATGTATCAAATATTAGAAAGCACAGTCAAGACTTGTACTCGATTCTTTAAAAGCTTGATAATACTTTCAACCACAATTAGATAAAACTTGAGCTCAGTTAGGAAGGTTTATGACTGAACTTTATGACCTAATTTGAAAAAAAGAATCTTATGGATGGTCTTACAGTTACACTAAACTAGCATATTTCATTTGTTTTGAAAGTTTTTAGAATATCCCTTGCTTTAAGACTTTAGCTGACCTACATATTTTGATATGTTTTGAGAATATCCCTTTTTAGAAACCCTATATTTCCTGGCAGGTTTCAGGAATTTTGCCCATTAGATGACATACATAACCTGTTATGTTTTGAGAATCCCCCTTTTATGTTGACAAAGTGCTGTTAGGTTTTGAGAATATCCCATATTAACTGACATTTATATCCTGTTAGGTTTGGAGAATTTCACCGATAAGCTGGCCTACATATCCTGTTTGGTTTTCAGAATGACCCCCATTAGCTGACCTATATATTCTGTTAGATTTTAAGAATGTCACTAGCGTAATGACTATTTAGCTGACATAATATGTTTTGAGAATGCCCTCTGACATTATGACAATTTAGCTGACCTATATTTCCAGTTAGGTTTTGAGATGTTCCCTAACATTATGACAGATGTGGGTGACTGTGACAAATCAATGAAATATGGGTTAAGTCAATCTTAATGCATAGTATAATCTGATTTGAAAGATGTGGTTATTGTTCATTGTTCAACATAGCTGGTGATGGATAATTTGATTTTAATTTTGATAAGTTTAATTCATATCAGTCTGCTTGAATATTTTTGTTTTAGTATTTCATTAAAGTATTTTTTTAAATGTAATTCATTTTTATATTGCAGATTGTTTTAAAGTACATATACTTTATTCATTGATATATTTTTTTTATTGAAAATTTGAGGAACTGTAGGCACTTGTGGTTTCAATATTTACATAGAGGAAAATCAATGTTAAAGTGGTGAATTTCATATTAGGGATTTAGAATATCATTCATGTTTCATGGTGTTTTGCAGGGATGCACAAAGTGCAATAGAAGTTTATAGTATGACAATTATTGGGAGTGTGGCAGGTGGTCATGCTTGAAAAACTGGGAACCTTTTTAGTGTAATCACTGCTCCGTCAGTTTCTACCCAGATCCCTGAAACTGCGTAGACAGATTGCACAAATGTTGAAGTTGTGCACCTGCTACTATGTAATGGTTTCAGGAATTTTCTACAGTTTATTCAGATTTTGGAAATTTTCTGCAAAAGGCTGTACCTATTATGTGTAATCAACTCCTCTTACAGTTTTCAACCCAAATCCATGACAGGTTAATAGAAAGATTGCACACATATTTCAGTTTTTCACATGCCATTATAGAAGTGTTTTTACCAGATTCTGTGATGATGTAGCTCCTTATATAAACCTTTATATTTCGGAAGATAGAAAACCTGGATGCTTCATAGCTTGATTGAATGCAGATGTCTTATGTTTTGACCTTTTAGTCATTTATATCTCCTTTGTCCATGACCTCATTTTCATGGTTCAGCTGCTGCTTTAAAAACTGTACAGATTATGTAGAATTGTTATAAATTATTTTTGCAGAATGTAATTTTTTTGTGTTCTTATTTTTCAGTATGTAAAGTTAATTGTCACAAGCGATGTAAAAAGAACATAGCAAACACATGTGGTATAAATACACGAGAAATGTCCGTTCGTTTAAAGGATCTCGGCATTATTAGTGACATTAATTCTCGGAAAAAGGTTAGTGTTATTTTTTTACTCATGGATATTGGTTTCTTTTTTCAGTATGTAAAATTAATGTTCACAAACGATGTCAAAAGAATGTAGCAAACAATTGTGGTATAAATACACGAGAAATGGCGGAGATATTGTCCGAGCTAGGCATAACTACTGATAAACATGGCACTAAGAAAAAGGTTAGTTTGTGTGTTGTTCTAAAGCACTTTTTGGTTCTCTTTCTCAAGTTTTTAGTGCAAGTGTACTTATTGTCATGTATCTTCCAAACTATCCTGTCTATTCCTTATTACACTTCAACCTTTTTTATTTTATATACGTATTTTTGTAATCCTCACATTTGATGTTATTTATTTTTTGGTAATTCTACACTTGTTTTATGTGATTATATACATTTAATTCTGATTCTGTGTTTAGAGATGGATATCAAATGTTGTAAAAGTATCAATTATTTTTTGCATTTGTTTAAAAATGTTTATTGTGAAAATGTTAAAAAAACACCTTGCTTTACTTTGGCTAAAAAAAATCTTCTTTTTAAACCTTATTGGTTCAAAATATGATAAGAAAAAAAGAAATGGGTCTTAGTTTGGTAATATAAAAGAGAAGCTCAACAAAAAATCAAACTAGACTTTTTAATTTTATGTTCATAATTATTTTTTGCCATATTTGGAAGAAAACATGTTTTTTTTTTACCCAGTAATCTTAAAATCGTTCATTTTTTTTAAAGGAAATCTAAAAATGAAAAAAAAATGTTCATCCTCCTTGTTTCTTTAAGTTTGATGCAAATCTAATAATTATTTTCAATATCCGTGAAAAAGATTGAAAATGGTAGAAAAAAATAAAACAACTGGACATTTTACTTTGCAGGAAAATATCTTGTTTTCTTATTTAACTTTTTCAAATAATTGATAAAGGTCACTTGTCATCAGTAATTTTTAGGTCAAAGTATTAAAATTCCACAATTGACTGTTAAGGGAAAGTAACGAGTGAAAATAACGTAGGCATTAAATAGGATGAATATTTATATAGAACCAGGTTATATTAAAAACAGTAAAAGATCTCACCTCCAGCATGGAAGAAAAGGTAATTCTAATTCATATAATCTTCGCTAAAAATAGCTTTCAGCTTTTCCTAAAATGGCTAAATTTACATTGGTTCAAATTCATCAATTGTTTTGAAGCAACTGAAATTGAAGCTTAGATTTTCTACAAGCATAAAGTTTTAGCAAGTGGTGAATATTTTACAAGGAAATCAGGTTTACATCCAAATCTGCTAAAGGAAGAGGGACCATTATTGCTGAAATGGGACACAGTGTATTTTGCATGATCATAGGTGCGGTCTTTTCATACCTCGGAACAGGAAGATGTTGGATAAGGATATTTTTAGGGGAAGATTTGGTATACAACCAATTACATGTTTTAAAAAATCCAATATTAAGCTTTAAGATGAATACAACCATTGATTATGTATGTTTTAAATCTTCAACCATGATTTACAATATAAACCATTATATAAATAACACATAGCTGAGAGGGTGATAGAGCAGATTGTTACCCTGAGAAAACATTGTCAACTGAGGCGAAGCCAAGGTTGACAATGTCTTTTCGAGGGGTAACAATCTGCTCTTTAATAAAGCGCACACTTGATCAAGCGTCTCTATGAAGGGTAATAGAGTAAATTAACACCCTCGTATTAGCCAATCAAAATATGGCATTTTAACATGAAGTATAATAATATACATTATCTGGTGATCAAATTTTGTAGTTAACAGGTTTGCAACATTGACCCTATTTTAATCCCTCTCAGCTATTTTTGTTAGGCCCCTTTTGATACATGTCTCCTCTTGTACATCACATTTATCCCTCTCTGTCTTGCCCAGTGATAACATTTTTTTTGCAACATTGACCCTATTTTGGACCCTTTCAGCTATTCTAGTTAGGCCTGTTTGAATACACGTCTTCCCTTGTACATCATATGATATTTATCCCTCTTTGACTTACTCATCTTACTGATAAAGTTGAACCAGAGATGTGAATTGAACAGGATGTTCCACTTATACACCACTGGATGGATATCACTACCAGTGGACCAGCATTCCCTGACATCCACATAGTCAAAAATAAAGGTTTTAGCATTCCCTAACAATCACACACTCAAAAATAAATGTTTCAGCATTCCCATGATGCATTTTGGAAATTTTACAAAAATTTAGGTCACAACTCCAAAAGGCAATGTTGATGTATAGATTATTGTTATGCCCCCGCCGTAGCGGAGGGGGCATTAAGTTTTACCCTGTCCCAAAGTTTGTTTCCGTTATCTAACTTTATTTACCACTGTTTTGGGCCCTTTGTATAGCTCCTAATGTTTTTTTCAATCTTTGGCTGTACATAGTGTTTGTTCTGAACTTTTTTAAAGAAGGTTAAACCAGAAATGTACATAGAAATCAACAAGGTCGATATGTTTTATTTTAATCTAAAAAGTTGATTTCATTAATTGAAATATCAGACAACTTGCGCAATCTTTTTATTCATTTAACATTTGTCTCAGGATGTCAAACAAATTTATATATCATAATCATGAAATAATGCTGAATAGGTGAGAAAATAAGGAGAGGAAAAATTAGACTTACCTCACATCATAAGGGTCTCTAAATTTTGAAAAAAATATTGGGAGGTAAGGGTTGAGAGTTGACATCTATGCATGAGTTTCTCTGTAAGATCACTGTGTTCCAGATTCGTTCAAATAAACGCTTCAGTACAAGTTATGGTACTGGGAACTAACATCTTTTCATTGCTACAGACTGAACTCTTATCAGTAAAACTACTGATCTGGTTTAATGTTCATGCTCTCTTTATACAGCTTATTCTTTGTGCAAGTGCTGTGAATTTACATTGGTATTTTACTGCTAGCTTTTTACAAAACGCTGGTTTTCTTAACATACATTTATTAGGGGTATTATTGGAGCAGAGGGATAACATAATTTGTGTGTGTGTGTGTGTGTGTGTTCTAGAGACTGAACTAGGGTTGATCACAGTCAGATTATATGAAGACATTGATTATTGTGTTGTGCAGTGTATCTTTTATTAATGTTTCTTATATGAATTACTCAAGGACTGAGGTTTGTTGAATACTGTAAATTTAGAAATAATTTCAATGATTTATTAATATGAAAATTGCAACAGTATCAGGTTTGCAATAATAGAAACTGGCATTTATAATTTCACTAGTGATTTTCCTTCATAAAATTTTTTGCAATCTCATTAATTAGATTTTGCATTTTTGCCAGAGGTTGGGGATTTATAATAATAAATGCACATATTAATTTATGAATTTACAGTAAATTGGATAATGTATTTACAGTTTACACAACTCTAGAATTAATTACGAATTAATTGTTTTCTTTACTCTTTTTAGTTTAAATGCTGTTAATTTAGTATTGTGTTATGTATTATTTTCATCTGATGACTGAAAACATTGAAATAAAATATTTATAAATCAGATATATGATATATCATTTATCTTCATTAGGATTTCTTAATACATAATATTTTCCAAGGACACATACAACTTTTAACAAGATTTACCAAAAAAATATAAAACTTATTGTGGTTTTACTATATTTTATTGGCTGTCTGACATGACAGTTTTTGCTAACATTTAACATGATGATACAAAAATTTAACCAGAAATTCCATATTTATTTGTATTTATGAATATGGAATCACTTGTTAAGTTCTATATCATATGTATGATATACTGTTACTAAATTCAGAAATTATTGCAAGGTATTTGTTAACATGAATAATGTGACTGGGTAAGTATCGCAATAGTAAGAACTCACATTCTGATATCAATACATAACTGGTATATCTGTAAACAGATTTGCCTCAAATCGCAATGATTAATTGCATTTTTGTCCACAATATTAAATCCACACAATAATGTCTGAATTTACAGTACAGGATATTCTTATACCCCTGTTCCAAAAGGAGGGCATGGGGATACTGGTTTATGTCTGGACATAAAGGTTTATTTGATTTTTATGCCCCCGCCGTAGCAGAGGGGGGATTAAGTTTTACCCTTGTCCATCTGTACGTACGTCCCAAAGTTGGTTTCCGTTCTCTAACTTTAGTTTGCCTCAACCAAATGTTATGAAACTTATACACAATACTTATTACCACATAATACAGATCAAGTTTGAATTATGGTAGTGTCACTTTAACCGTTCTAGAGTTATGTCCCTTTATAAATGGAAAAATTGCTGAATTGTTTGTTTCCGTTCTCTAACTTTAGTTTGCCTCAACCAAATGTTATGAAACTTGTCCACATTTTTACGGTATTTATTGTAGTGTAAAATCTGCCGTTCACTCACAACTACCAGAACTGTACCAGAGTTGTTGTGTGTTTCTTTATTTTTTACATTTTGAACATTTGGACTGTGATTCCATAGATAAACTTCACACTGTTGCGTCATAGCATTATTTTCCAAAATTTCTTTTTTTAGCACTCATACAGTGATTCTCCTAGTAAATCGTTACCAGACAATAGATCATCGTCACCTTTATCAGTGTTACCTGGCGAAAATGGTAAGTGTCATGTGATCAAATGGAGTTTGAGGCTAAACTCAGTGAGACAGTAACCTGACAACATAAGTTATTTTAAAAATAGACATCTAGATCTTATTCTGTTCATGCACTGATTTTGTGTCGAGGATGGATACCCCCATATCCCTTGTTTTTCTATTATCTAGAGTTGACCATATTGTCTTCCTTGATAGATAAGCAGCCACACTGTACAAGCTATGAATCTCACCTGATCTAGACAAATTATGATATATTTTTTTAAGAGAATATGAATAATTCTTTTATCCCCAGCTTAGAATATTTCTCTGATTTTCGATTAGCTAATGACATGTCGTTAAAAAACTCATGGCCTGGGTCTTGATAATCCAAATACTCAGGCGTTGCTACTCATTTACCCAGGGAACTTCAGTCGCATTTTCCGTAGTTCAGTGGTTGCTCCCAGTGAAAAATGGAAACTAGATTATCCATGATGTCTGTTTCTAGTTTCTCTTTCCTGGATTACAGACGTCTTATATTTGCCTACCAAACTAATTGGAATATGTAAAAAAAAATTATTTCACCTGCCAAAGTTTTTTTGTTATTTTTATCTTGGCCAAATGAACAGACATTGTGCAGTGTATTATAAACAAGATCTAATTGCATCAAATTATTTATTTCAGATGATACATTCATAGGTGGTTATGGGGATAGCAAAAATCTTCTTGTCTCATGTCCTGACGATTACCTGTCGGGGCGACCTCACAGTCCTTCACATGACCGTAGATGGAAAACGGATAAATATTCTTTGTCAGATTTTGTATTTATCAAAGTTTTAGGAAAAGGAAGCTTTGGTAAGGTAGGTACAATGATGTTGGTACACATGATATTTACTGAAGAAACGTAAGGTTATTTATTGCCTTTGCTACCAAAAACAAATTGGTCAAAACAAGAAGGATCAAAATACTTCTTTATCTTCCAGTAAGCAGTCACTTCAACCGGTGGACTATCCTGCCACATGTTTGGGAGTGTGGGCATGGTAACTTTAAAAATTCAATAAACAAAAACTGGGTGCAATTCATATACAGATGAAAATAAAATTAGTCAGTAGAACAATATAAAATTTGAATTTGTTGATTTGTCTAGTAATTGTAAGTGTAGGAACAATATAAATGAAAAATCACAGTGTCTGAACCAGTTAAGTGACAGTGATGAGGTCATGTCAGGTCATGTTCTATATATGATTCATCCTGAACATGCATGAAATATTTGCCACTGGATGTAAAGCAAACAACAATCAATCAATATTCCATATGACTTAGAATTGCTTGATTTGTCTCTGTTTCTTATGATAGATAGATAAACGTTTTTTATTTTAAGTACAATGTGGTACATGTACATGAAATACAATATATTACAATTTGAAACATACGTATATATGTCAATAAGGGCTATTCCATTCAAATGTATGTGGGAGGGTAGGAAGTGAAGTTTAATTATTGAATGTGGGTCATGGTTCTTTTTTCAGTATGCGTCTATTACCATTATGCAAAATTATCTAAAAAATGGTTCTTGATTGTAGGGATATTTTGAAAGTCCCTTCCTACCCTCCCACATACATTTTAATGGAATAGCCCTAAACATGTATATTAATACCAACCAGCCTACCAGCCTTTAGAGCCTTATGATGCATTGTCGTTTATGTACGAAATATGTATTTTGTTTTGTTTTCAGGTCATGTTGGCAGAGAAACGAGGTACAGAAGAAGTTTATGCAGTAAAAGTTTTAAAGAAAGACGTTATAATACAAGATGATGATGTAGAGTGTACAATGACAGAAAAACGCATTCTAGCTTTATCGGCTAAACATCCTTTTCTCACGGCACTTCATTCATGCTTCCAAACTAGGGTCAGTTTACAAAAGTTTGCAATACTTTATTTTTACCTGTGTTGTAAATGGTGAAAGTAGGTCTAGTAAAGGCTTGACTCTGCTTTCCTTCTCAAAGGCCTTCTTGGCTAGGTAGAGTTCAAATATTTTGATCTTGTTATCCATGTAAAAAAGTTGTGCATACAAAAATCAGCCGCTTGAAACTTGATATGAATCTGATTGTATAGGATTCCATGGAACCCTGTGTCTTACCTGTGATTGCTGTTGTCAGGGTAAAAATGTCAATTTTTTTAAGTAAAAGACGAAATTAATATTTAAAAATTAAAATTTTGTTTATGGTGCTATCTCTTGTATGAAAAGAAAATTTGTAAAGTTCCATGAAGTTTTGACCAAGTCTTTCAAGTTTTAAAATCTTTCACCACAGATTATACATTTTAAAATGTTACTGCATAAAAAAGTATTTAGTCCATTGATCAGTAAAAAAAAATAATGCAAAAATTTCTGAACATTTCTTGATAATGGAGAAGCTTCTGTCCAAGTTTCATAGAATACCACGAAAGTTTGACAAACTTATTGATGTCTTAAAAAAGCTTTTATCACTGACAGAACCTAAATGTTGACTGCCCCAAAAAAATAAATCCATATTTCAGTAAAATATTAGAAAAAAAAGAATTCTTTCAAAATTAAAAAAAAAAACTTTTTAAAAACCTTGCTTTGGACACACTGTCTTTTGATCCTAAAACAGCTTCTATTCAAGTTTCGTTAAATTCAATGAAGGTTTGTCAAAGTTATTGATGTCTAAAAAAACACACTGTACCTCATTGTATACCACAACCACAATAAGAGAATGTAGGATTACTATGTCTTTGCCTTCATGGCTTTTGATGCAGGGGAAACAAAAATAAAAAGATGCCTATATATAAATAAATGTATATATGAAAATATTCAAAATAATGTAAACCAACTAATATTTGCAAGTGATTTATTTAAACAACCTTCGTGAGAAAAAACAACAAGCAGGTAATCATTGCATCTTCTCATATATGCATACATCAACAAATTGGAAAAATGAATCACCAAAAAGTCATCTAGAAAGGGCTTAAGGTAGCTGGGGTGTCTAACTGTTCAATGATAGATTTTTCTTAAACTTCTGTATAAGACTTCTGGGTCAATGTATATCAAATTTCGATATAAAAACTGAGTGTCACGGAACTTGTTTTTTCGTTAGGGCTATTCCATTAAAATGTATGTGGGAGGGTAGGAAGGGAAGTTTAATTAATGAATGTGGGTCATGGGTCTTTTTTTCAGGATGCATCTATTACCATTATGCAAAATTATCTAAAAAATGGTTCTTGGTTGTAGGGATATTTTGAAAGTCCCTTCCTACCCTCCCACATACATTTTAATGGAATAACCCTTAAAATACATTGAAATTAACAAAATCATGGTTATTTTGTATGGGTTAAATAGGGGAAACTTAATCTTTCCTTATTTAGAAAACATTTAACAATAGAATTGGTTATTAATTCTATGAGAAAATTGCCTTTCTTAAATACTTCTTAAATACTAAATAAATAATCAAATTCAGTATAATTATCTGCCCTAAATTTTAGAAGGATTTTTTTCTGACAACTTCACTTAATTTTTATGCCCTTGCTGTAGAGGAGGGGGCATTAAGTTTTACCCTTGTACGTCTCAAAAATGGTATCCATTCTCTAACTTTAGTTTGCCTCGACCAAATGTTATGAAACTTATACACAATGCTTATTACCACAAAACACAGATCAAGTTTAAATTTTGGTGGCCTCACTTGTACTGTTCTAGAGTTATGCTCCTTTATAAATTGAAAAATTGCTGAATTTATTCGTTTTTTTGCCCCACCTACGATAGTAGAGGGGCATTATGTTTTTAGGTCTGTGCGTTCGTTCGTCCGTACGTTCGTCCGTACGTTCGTTCGTTCGTTCATCCGTCGGTTCGAAAAAGGTAGTTTTTGATGAAGTTGAAGTCCAATCAACTTGAAACTTAGTATACATGTTCCTTATGATATGATCATTTTAATTTTTATGCCACATTAGAGTTTTGACCCCAATTTCACAGTCCACTGAAAATAAAAAATGATAGTGCGAGTGGGGCATCCATGTACTATGCACACATTCTTGTTGTTCTCTAACTTACGTTTGCCTCAACCAAATGTTATGAAACTAATGCACAATGCTTATTACTACAAAACTCAGACCAAGTTCAAATTTGGGTAGTGTCACTGTTACCATTTTTGAGTTATGACCCTTTATAACGTTATATGCAAGCAGGGGCATCATCTGTGTCCATTCCCCATTCATTTTAAATTAATCTTGAAAATTCAAGTTTTAGATATTTCTGTTGTACATTGAATGATATTTGGTAAAATATTTTGAAATCAAAAGAGTATTTTTGGAACATGCCCAAAACAGATGCTCAGAAAAAGACACTGATCTACCTTAAAGTGAAATAAGGAATCTGTGAAAATATAGTTGGTATATAGTAAACAGTGAAAAAAGTGCCTCATCTGGTATATAGTAAACAGTGAAAAAAGTGCCTCATTTGCTATATAGTAAACAGGGAAAAAAGTGCCTCATTTGCTATATAGTAAACAGGGAAAAAAGTGCCTCATTTGCTATATAGTAAACAGGGAAAAAAGTGCCTCATTTCACATTAAATGAATGGTTTTATTTATTTTGTTTAAAATTCAGAGGTTATGAATCACAGAATTTACCTAGATGTTGAAAATGAGCATCGATTTACTAAAGAATTGTTTGTGACTTTTTATTTCAGGATCGTTTGTTTTTTGTGATGGAATATGTAAATGGTGGTGATTTAATGTTTCAAATACAAAGGTCACGCAAATTTGATGAACCTAGGGCCAGATTTTACGCAGCAGAAGTAACGCAAGCACTAATGTTCCTTCATCGAAATGGTATTATATACAGGTAAGTTACACAATTACATAATTATCATAGATTATGATATAATGAAGAATCATTATTTGAGTGGCTTTTGCATGCATTTGGACAAAATGATCATGTCAGCTGATCATCAGTAAGATTTTGTCTGGCTCCAATCATTTGCATATAAGGCAAGATACAAAAAGTCAACTGGCATGTCAGTCACTTCAGTGATACCTTATGCCTTGTTCTCAGCACTTCTGATATATTCTACAGTAAAAGTATGTTGCAAAATTATCCTCATGTTAAATAAAGTTGCATTCATAGAACCCAAACAAACTACCAAAAACATTGAACAAAAAAGATATATGGAATGATAGAAGAGTAGGAAAAATCTATACCAATAAACTCATCAAAGATTCCAGGATTAACATTGTATTTGCCAGAGGAGGAGTTTCCTCTACAAAAGACGAGAATAAAAAAAGTTCAAAAACCCCAAAAAAGTGCAAAGTTGAAAAGCATTTAGAACCCAAAATTCCGAAAGGTTTTTTCAAATACAACTAAGGTAATCTATTCCTGGAATAGAATATCCAAGGTATTTTGAAAAATCTAATTTTGTTAACAGTATAATTATAATTATGACAATATCGATGATAATTCATGTCAACAAAAAAGTGCTGACTACTAGGTTTGTGATACTTTTGGGGAGGAAACCTAGGTTTGTGATACTTTTGGGGAGGAAACCTAGGTTTGTGATACTTTCGGGGAGGAAACCTAGGTTTGTGATACTTTCGGGGAGGAAACCTCAACCAGCAGTGGCAGTGACCCAGTGGTTGTAAGTAAATTCTTGATAGATACCAGGATTAGAATACGCTAGACACGTGTTTTGTCTACAAAAGACTCATCAGTGAGGCTCAACATGCAAATGCTTGACTTGGTTCAGATACAGAAAATTGTATTGGTGTTGGAATAGTATGATGGGTTCCCAATTTTATTTTCTTGTACAAAAATGTATTCAGATGTTATTATGGTATAAGTAAATATTTGAAATGTGTTTGCTCATGGATTCAAATCTTTACCTAGTATCATATGGTTCATAAAACTGCTTTAACAGTAAAACCACGTTTATAAAAGTCAATGTGGTCAATAAATAATATTTGAATATTTTTGAATAAAAAAACTATCCCAACAGCAAAATGGTTTGAAATACAAATTTTTTTATTTTAAAAAAAGAGTTAGAAAATTCTCCATTTCAGAATCTACAGGAATAAGGGAAATGTCATGGTTCATACCTCAAATTAAAAATGATGTCACATCATTGATTGAATTTCCATTGTTTAGGACCTTCCAACCCAATCACAACGTTTTAGTATACAAGATTTTGAACAAACTACCCAGAATGCATTAGATTCTGGGCAAGTTTCTGAAGTATGGTTTGTTCTGGTTATAGGGTCCTATCATTTATAAGAAATTTCTAGATATGCATTTATATAATGTACAAGTTGGACATACATTCTTTGAGATTAAATGTTTTATATATGGAATAGTGTTTTCATTATGGTATTGTGACTTTTTTTCAGAGATTTAAAATTAGACAATATTCTATTAGATGCAGAGGGTCATTGTAAAATAGCAGATTTTGGAATGTGTAAAGAAGGAATGCATGAAAGTAAATTAACACAGACTTTCTGTGGTACACCTGATTATATAGCACCTGAAGTGAGTACACAGGTTTTATTAACATACTTTTAACATGTTTAAATAATTGGTTAATTTTGATGCAATTTGTAGAAAAAATATAAAAGGGTTCAATTAAATTGAAAGATACAAAAAATGAATCTAGTTCTATACTGTGCAAATACCATCATACAGCAAAATAAAAAAGATAATCATAAACTGGATTCATTATTATTCCTGGGGTACCAACTATCGTGGATTACATGGTTATAAATTATGGTTATAGATCGCTAGGTTCAGTTTGTAGGTCTAGTTCAAAGCAAGGTCCATCACATTAACCTGTTCTCATCCTGCTATGGATGTTATATTTGTCACTGCACAGTATAAACCTACCAATTAGCATCTTCATCAGATGAAAACTAATATACATTGTGGATTCATCGTTATTACTGGGGTACCAGTTTCCTTGATTTCAGGGGTATAGTGGTACCATGTAATAATGTGTTCAATAAAGCACAAACATCAAATAGGTTTGTATGCAGAATTTGCCAATACCCTGAAATCATGAATTTACAAAATCACAAAAAATTTCCTATCATTGAAAATTTGTTCCTAAGAAATTAAAAGAACCCACAGTACAAAGAAAAAAAAGATGTTTAATGTTGCAAAATTTATAGGTTTTTTTTTGTGGTTAGTGTTGTTCTGCAAAAATTTCAGCAGTGTCATGATATACTCAAAAATTCAGCAGTGTCATGATATACTAACAAGTTTATGGAGTGTATGGATATGAAAATGAAAAACAAAACCTACCTGAACAGACGTGACATCAAATGACCCAGAAAGTTAAAGTCATAATTAGTCTGGCATTAGGTCATTTCCAATACATGAAAACACACAGGATGTTCATTGCATACGAACTCATTTACAAGAAGTGAAATTTTCATACGGATGACGCTAGATTGGTTAGTTCTAGATGATCTGAATCCACATAATCATCCGGAAGTTCAATATAACAAGACAAAACTTTGTATTTTGATCTTTTTCATTATAAATAATTGCAAATACAAGTTGTATTATACAACTGTAGTGGCTAACTGTTACCTTCATTTTGAATATGATATATCTCGTTCAATCCGTTCGATTGAGCTCTGGAATTGAAACAGATAGAACATGTTCGGAACACTTCAACCAAGAGCACCCATTAAATTATACTGTAACGTAAAATCCTTCTTTTTTTTTTTAAATTTCATGAAAACAACATCTTACAAATATATCTTTGTTCACAATAAATACAATATAAAGTTGAATATTTGTTAAATAGAGGCGAAAGATACCAAAGAGACATTCAAACTCATAAGTCGAAAATAAACTGACAACGCTATGGCAAAAAAAGAAAAAGACCAAAAGACAAACAACAGTATACAAAACACAACATAGAAAACAAATGACTGAGATACACGAACCCAATCAAAAATCGGGGGTGTTAACATTATTTTACGGAAAGTTCTGTATCTGCAACTCCATTTTTTTTTCTCTCTAGATTTTACAAGAATTAGAATATGACGCTTCGGTAGATTGGTGGGCTTTAGGTGTATTAATGTATGAAATGATGGCAGGCCAGCCTCCTTTTGAAGCAGACAATGAAGAAGATTTATTTGAATCTATATTACACGATGATGTATTATATCCAGTATGGCTTAGTAGAGAAGCTGTTGCAATTTTAAAAGGGGTAGGTATTACAAGTATTTATAGATGTTGTTTCTCAGCTACAATCTCATCAAAGGGACATAGGCTTGACTATATGGAGAGGAAGCCAAGAAACATCACTGATAATCTCTCTGCATCATACATACTCTTTCTACTCGACTGAGAAATACCCATATCACTTGAGTAGCGTGATATGAAAAATAATCATACAGAAAGAGTAAAGGAAAATTTGAGAAAATAGTGATAATGGGCTTTATATTATATGAATGTTGGTGGTTCTCTGTGGGTACTCCAGCTTCCTCCATAGAAAATAGCCACCATGATATAGACAAGGAAGCTAACAGTGGGGGTAAACACTAACAAACAAACAAAACGTAACATTATACAGTGAAACTTGTGGGACAGTATATAAAAGTGCAACAATATTGACCTCAAGATTTATTTTGTATCACTGGGGTTGCTTTCCATTGACCTACATAGCCGCTTCTGTGGTCTTGTTTTAGGGTGTTTTCTTTGAGTGCAAGATGTAGTGGGTCAAACAGAAAGACTTTGAAATAGTTATGCAATACTTCTTCTCTAGGTGTAATACCACCATTGTTTTTCCCCTATTAGTCTTTGTTAAATTTGCACTTTTCAAAAAATTGTGCAGAATTTATCTTTGTTTCAAATAAAGAAATACTTGGCATGAGTAAAGTTTTATCCTGTCCAGTACTATAGAAAAAATTTCACATAACATTTCATTGCATATAAGAAAATAACCATCACTGGAAGTTAACCAATCAAATTTTCCCCCTTTTTTAACCTGTGTACAAGCTTTAGTAACCATGTAACCTCAAGTTTCCAAAATATTCTATAGAAACCCCAAATAAAGAAATAATGGTGCTTTGAAATACCCAAGATATATGTTTATGACTCAGAAATGTTTTACTGCAATGAAATGTAGGATCAATTACCTACAACTGTCAAATTCAAGGTAATATTTTTTTTCGACCTATTTTCGTATGCAAAAGGATGTGACGTACTATGATTTGGTGGTATTACACCTCTATGAATGAAGCTTTCAGTAATAAGAGCGAAAAGACTAGGTATTGAGTCAGAATAATGTGTCCATGTAGGTCGGTATGTCTTTTTTATTTAAAATCTGAACCAGCTTGCCTGTCTAGTGCAAAGCAGGGTATATCTATATCTCATTAACATGTTATCGTAATTTACCCTTGCACCTAATTGTCCCCTTTGTAGTATTTTGTTTTTTATGCTTTGAGTACAATAAGTATTTTCTGTTGCAGTTCATGACAAAAAATCCAGCAAAACGATTAGGCTGTGTGAAACAGCAAGGAGGAGAAAAAGCAATCTTAGTTCATCCATTCTTCCATGAGAAGATCGACTGGGAAGCTCTAGAACAAAGAAAAGTTAAACCTCCATTTAAACCAAAAATTGTAAGTTTTTTTTGCAAAAGAAAAAAAAATTTCATTGGACTTTGAATGTTTATTTTTCTTGATAAATATGATCCACAATATTAAAACCCCATCAAAAACCAAAAAATATTTTATAACAGAGATTACTTTCTGTATTGGAAACCACTGGAATAAAACTCCATAAAATCAAAACCATGAAATTTTAACTCCATGAAAAATAAAAGTTTCTGCAGTAAAAGAAAAAGGAATATTCAAACTAAGAAGTCAAAAATAATCTGATAACACCATGGCAGAAATAAACTGATAACACCATGACAAAAAATAAACTGATAACACCATGGCAGAAATAAACTGATAACACCATGACAAAAAATAAAGTGATAACACCATGGCAAAAAATAAACTGAAACACCATGGCAAAAAATAAACTGACAACACCATGGCAAAAAATAAAGTGATAACACCATAGCAAAAAATAAAATAACACCATGGCAAAAAAATCAACTGATGACACCATGGCAAAAAATAAACTGATAACACCATGGCAAAAAACAAAATAAACTGATAACACCATGGCAAAAATAAACTGATAACACCATGGCAAAAAATAAACTGATAACACCATGGCAAAAAACAAAATAAACTGATAACACCATGGCAAAAATAAACTGATAACACCATGGCAAAAAATAAACTGATAACACCATGGCAAAAAAATAAACTTATAACACCATGGCAAAAAAAACTGACAACACCATGGCAAAAAATAAACTGATAACACCATGGAAAAAATAAACTGATAACACCATGGGAAAAAACGAAAAAAGGCCAATAGATAAACCAACATTTTAAAACATAACATCGAAAACTAGAGACTGAAGAAAACAAACCCCACCAAAAACGAGTCATTTCTTTTAGATTACAATATTTTAACTCATGTGAATATGAATGGATTTCTTTACTCTGCAGTTTTCACTGTTATATCTGAGTGGGGGAAAGATGTCATCCGAGTGGGGGATAGATGTCATCCGAGTGGGGGAAGGATGTCATCCTAGTGGGGAAAGATGTCATGTCATGTTAGGTTATCAATACCTTGTATCTGCAACTTTTCGTCAATGATTTCAATGAAGATATCGGAAATCTTCAGAACCTTATTTGTACTTGTGAAGTATGTATGGATACTTCTATTTCAAACAAGTTACAATATTTCTTCGCTACATTTTCAACTTTTGAGCTGTAGTAAGCATTTAAAAATCTACAATTACACTACCGACATTGGAGAAAAATTGTAACTCATGAACAAATTGTGTAAAATGTGTTTCTCACTCATGCTTTCCAGTAAAAAAAATCCCGTTTTGATATTATGACCCCTGATGCTAACCTGCTAACAATATAAATAAGAAGATGTGGTATGAATGCCAATGAAACTACTCTCCATCCAAGTCACAATGTATAAAACAAGTATACCATTCACATGACATCCTTAAATTACCCTTATACTAATATTATTAGAGGTGTTCATGTCCATTTGAAGCTAATACAAAGAAGAAGACATCACAATTGATGAGCTACCAATCTCAGCACTTGAAATTGGGAGTTGATTGTGAGAAATGATTTGATTGTTGTGTGGTTTGAATTATTTTTGACCACATTGTTATGTGTCACATAGAAGTGACCACTTATGGGAGAAAAAATACTTTAAATTCCGAAATTATTGTGTGCATTTAGTATTGTGATTTTTCAAGAATGGACAAAAATGCGAGATTAATTGTTGCGATATCATGAAAATCTGCATAAAGATATATGTAACAGACATCAGAATGCGAGTTCTTATTATTGCGATAGTCACCCAGTCGCATTATTCCCATAAATAAAAACTTCGCAATAATTTCTGAATTAACAGTGTGTAAAGTTTGATTTTAACATATTGTCATATTCTCTTAATTTACAGAAATCTAAAACTGATGCCAACAATTTTGACAAAGACTTTACTTCAGAAGAACCAACGTTGACACCTGTTGATCCATCCGTTGTCAAGGCGATTAATCAGGAAGAATTTAGTGGATTTTCTTTCATTAATCCAGACTATGGAAAGACATTTCAGTCATCCGATATCCATTAACACAGGAGTAAACAATAATTTGCCAACGTCCACGTCTTTCTGCATCTAGTCATTATTCATTGTAGTTGTCCTAAATTATGACATCACTTCAGCGTCCGTCAACTCCCATCAAAATTTCTTTAATATTTTTTTCAAACCAAATGGATTTGTCCTGCATATACATAAAATATTTGGCTCTGGACATTAAACAAACAGTGATTAATCAATCATATCAGATCAGAGTTTTAAATATTACATTTATTTTATCTTTATTGTTTTGGAATTGATATACATATGTCTCTCATACACAAAAAAATGAAAACAAATAGGAAATTTTCCTTATCACTTAAACTTGAATAGATATTTATTCAACTTAAAGAGGTGAGCAGTACATGTCATTTTTATAATTCTTGTTTTTTATGATTTATTGTTTTTATGCATATTAGAAGCCGTTACTTTAATTGATATTGAACAATTTTTAAGGCTATTCACATTGACAGTTAAATGATTGTAATTAAATTTTTAATTTATTTATTAAATTGCCGACAATGTTACAAACTCATAAAATCATGTGACTTATCTTACAGCAGGGTATACAGATTCAGCCATTAAATTTTCTTGCTCACCTGGACAACAAGTGCAAGTGAGCTAAGAGCATTACTTGGCAAAAGTAAACAAATCTTGATCTGAAACTTAAACCAGACCAAATTTGGCTGCAATCATTATTAATGTATGGAATTTTGAAGAAAAAAATCATGCTATATTTGCAAGATATAAACTTGATGATACAACCTTTGTCTTTATATTGTAGAGTTAGGGTAAATCTTTCTGTTGAATTTGTATTTTACAATTCACTACAATTCTACTATGTTTGGTTCATCTTTAACCTGTTTTTTTGCCCTAGCATCTGGTTTTGCATTTATAAGGTCTAATTTCCAGAAAACTTGTATTTTTTCATTGGTATTTTTCAGTATCCAAGTATTGATATTGTACAACACATCTATGTTTGGGTCGCCATGACCTAATTTCACACTTGAAAAATGAGTGATAAGTGTACAAATTAATTCATTTCTTGTAAACTTGATGTTATTTACTATTGTTTTTTTACCACTGTAATCCTTCTATATACGTTAGCTAATTTGTGCAACACTGATTTGATGTCTTAAAATGTCAACATCTATTTAGATAATTTTGAAAAGGAATTTAAATTCAGTTGTAAGTTGATATCAGATATTTGTTTATAATTCCATCACCTGATCTAAAGGGTCTTTTCTGACCTGAATATTGTGTTCAAATAATACAAGTGATCCGTTTTTACAGGTTTCAGCCTTTCCTGATGCAAGAGTTTAGTTCAGATAGTTTTTTTTATTCAAACAGGTGTATTTTGCTCTTATTTTAGATAAAGTCACGGTAATCTGTTTCAGAATTGTAAATTGATGTGCAATAATTTGTGTTCTCTCTCTTCCAAACTTGGTACAGATTCATGAAGTTGTATACCCATGGTTGATAGGTCATGATGAATAAGTTATGTGTTCAATTGAAGTTCAACAACTACAGATCGATAAAATTTAGAATTTTGAATATAATATTTTAATTTATTTGGAAAAAGATATTTTTCAGATCTGATATACGTGCATTCATTTTTTTAAACCATGACTGTTTTTATTTTGTACTTTAAATTAAACTATTCTTAGTTGTAAAAAATGAAATTTTATGTTTTCTGAAATATGCATAGATTGGTCAAGAATTGTAATAACAGACTTTCATGGAACAAGCATTCTTCATGTAGCAATATACAGTGGTTGACCATGCCATGTGACTATAGTCAGTTTCATGGTATTAGTCATGTGACTATAGTCTGTTTCTTTGAATGTATGATCAAACGTTTACCGATGTGTCGATTTTAATAGAGTATTTGTAAAAATCTGATGTTATCAATGAATGGGGGTGTGAATTGGGAATTCATGTGTTAATCTAAAAGTGATTGAATGCCTCAGTTTTATTTCATTTTGTTATCAGCTTTAAGTCATCATTGAATGATTATAAGATTATTTCATATGGTTCTATAGTCTATATCATTGAATGAATTATTGACTGGAATTTATAGTCTGTTTCACAGAGTAAATGAGTAAATGAAATGATTGTATGTTTTGAATGTTAGTTTTGCTATCGTATTGTATATTTGGATGGTTGTTATGTTAATTTTTAGTAATGAATACATGTACGAAAAACTTTAAAAAAATCATAATTGCAGTTCGAATGTTGTAGCTTGGAATTTCATCAGTTCCTAAGAACCAAGATTAGTTGAAGTTATGCACATTCCATGGAAAGACATATTAAAATTGTACTTGCTGGTGAATCAAAGCCAATGGCAGAAAAGGAAAAGGAAAATATAAGTATAACTGATGATACAACCTTTTGCAGGCCGAAATAAAACTACACAAGTCTGTTATATTTCATTTTACATTTTTGAATTAACAAAATATCATTCTGTTCAAAACTTTTTGGTTCTTTTCTTTGGATCTTACCAAATTATTTTATTACAATGAGGGCCTGAAAGATCTGTGGCTCCCATATTACTGTACTTGTAGTATTGGACTTTCTTTTTCACCACCATTATCACTTTTTCAGGTATACAGGGATTAAATATAACCTGGATAATTGCATGTTTTAGGGATAACAATGTCAAGTTTATAACAGATAATTTCCTGATATTTTATATCACAGTTTATAGATTATTGAATATAAATTATGACATAGAGTAAAGGACCTCAATTCTAAATATATTCTAATAAAAAGTAGACAATGTTGAATCAGGACGACATGTTTTGTTTTACTGTTAAGGATTCTAAATACATTCTAGTAAAAAGTGAACGCTGTTGAATCAGGATGACATGTTATATTGTTAAGGCTGACAGTCATATCATTTACCCTGTTTCTTTCATGTTTAAAGAGGCATTTTAATGGGAGTCAAACTATACAGGACTTTCTAGGGCTGTTCAAGAAAAAAAAATTGTATGTGGAGGTGGGGCAGAAGTCACTTTATTTCATTCTGCCATGCATAAAATTTTAATTGACTATAATTTTCTTATGAATTAACCACCACCATCAAAATTTTTAAGAAATGCATTCTGACCCCCCATACAATCAATTCTGGAACAGCCCTCAAAAACAGATGGCTGTTTATAAAGTTTTTTGTTTTCATGTACAGTAATGTTCATACGGATGTATAATATGGAATGTATTTAAACAAATGTCCATAATTTATTAGATTTTTTCTAACAATTCTTGCATGTGTTTTTATTCTGATTACTATAACATGCCACCTTATTGTACAGATTTTTATCAGACCTGTTTACCTGATCATAATCTAAAGCATTATGGGAAAAATTGTCAAAATCATACATCAAAACTTTCTAATTGGTTCTCAAAATCTTAAAAGAAAGATATTCGTCAAATTTTTTATGGATTTAAGGTCTAGGAGCAGATCCAGTGGTCAAGGAAAGAGCAGCTTAATTGTCCATAATGGAAAAAATGGTCAAACATTGAGAAAAAATAATTTTAAGTGAATTTTTTTACCAAAGAAGGATTTTTCGGATCACCCATCTGAATCCACCACTGAGAGCAATGCTATTACCCATACTCTTTTAGATTCAGAAAAGGTGAATTTACTTATCACACATTAAGGTGCGCATGTAGTTGATGGTGCTTGAAAAATAGATCTGATCATGTTAACTTACTAGGGCAAACAAAATGGCAACCACATTAAATATTCTGCAATAATAGCATTGAAAGCTAGAAAGTGAAGCATTAGAAATGATATTATAAACCTTATTGAAGTCACAATTCTGATATTATAGTAAAGATTATCAAAATCTAATTTTTATGACGGTCAAGTTTTTGAAAGGTTAACAGTGTTCTTATAACATTAACTGTATTTCTTTAAATGTCAGTATTTATTCACAGAATTTTATGTTTCAAAGAGGCATTATTTAATTTCAACATTGAAACATGAACTCATTCCATTGGCTTTATAATGTGTATGATTTGTACTAAGGGAAGTAACTGTGTGAAGGAAGATAACTGAATGAGAATTCTCTAAAATGGGAAAATATGTCTTTTTTTAAATAGTGATTTGTACATAGTTTTATTAATATATTCATGGATTAAATGTGGATTGTATGTTTGAATAATTGTGTTTAATAAATGGTTGATATTTGTGTGACCAGAATGAAAATTTCATCTGTATGTAAGAATCTGTAATTGGTTGATAGGTTTTTGTAAGATGCAGAATCATTCATTTTATCATTCTTTACTATTAAAAGGTGCATGTCAAAATTTCTTATAGAATTAATGTATAATACCATCCATGCATGTGTAACACTTATTATTCTGTAAAAAACACAAAAATGTACATGTAGCATAATGATACATTTGTTTCTAGTCTGTACATGTGTAACACTTACATTTTCGAACCAAATGTACACATGTAACACTGTTAATGCTAAAGTTTTAAAAAATTCATACATGGTTTAATTTAATACAAATGTTCAAAATGTTTACACATGCCTAAAACAGTTATTGCTGTTAGGTTAAAATGCATGTGTATTCATATGCAGCTTTGTTTAAACTTTATTTTTAGAGGACAGACAACATATGTTAATTGATTGTAACATATATACATCAGTGTGAATAGATGTGTTTTGGTACATGTGTTAACATTACTGTAGTAATTGTGTTAATGGGTATTGTTTGAAATGAAGTTTGAAGTTTTAGCTTTTCTGAGAGTGGAAACAGTTCAACCATGAATTTAAGTGTTGGACTAAGTACAAATTTCTCCTGGCTTGTATGCAGAATTGATCAAAACTAAGATATTTATAGTTTGTACAGAACTTAAAATTTATGATTCACTTAAAGCAGGAAATTGACAAATAATAATGAACCCACAGTACTAACAGTACTACTAAGAAATTAATCAAGTTGTCAAAGGACATTCTTTAAATATATGTAAAGTTTTTAATGATTAAGCGTTGATAAAAAGCTGTTCATTTAGTGAAATGTTGAAGAATTTTCTTGTCAATACACTTTTAAAAAAGATGTTAATACATGTACAGTGCTGGTAATACATTTACAGTAGTGTTAATACATGAACAAAACTGTTAATAGATATACAGGTGTTTATTTATGTACAGTAGGGTTAAGAAATTACTGAAGTCATGCACAGTTGTTTTATCACATGTACAGAAAGGTAATACATGTATCATTTTGGCTGTGTTAACACATGTACCAATAAGTAATACATGTATCATTTTGACCATGTTAACACATGTACCAATAAGTAATACATGTATCATTTTGACCATGTTAACACATGTACCGTTAAGTAATAAATGTATCATTTTGGCTGTGTTAACACATGTACCATTAAGTAATACATGTATCATTTTGGTTGTGTTAACACATGTACCGTTAAGTAATACATGTATCATATTGACCATGTTAACACATGTACCGTTAGTGAATACATGTATCCTATTGGCCATGTTAACACATGTACCGTTAGTGAATACATGTATCATATTGACCATGTTAACACATGTGCTGTCAGTGAATACATGTATCATATTGGTCGTGTTATCACATGTTATAGATGGTATAAGCATTTGGTTGATACTAGTCATTTACAATATTCTTAAAAGGTTTGTTGCTTCCATTATAAATGTTCACACACAAGGTTTAATTTATTGTCACTTTTTTCCTTTATTGTCATATTAGATTTGTCCTGAATCAAAATAATGTAAAACATACATTGAAATTAGTATCTACTAGACAATTGTTAGATGCTGACCACAAACATATATCAGAAAAATTATATCTCGGTAGAATTGAAATTTTTAGTAAAAGCAGAAGGAATTCTTTGGTTTTGAAATATTGATGAATTCACCTGCTTAAGTCTTAAAGGATTGAAATTAGAGTCTTGATAAAATTCCTTGTTTCATGTCAGAATTCGAAAAATAACTTTTTGAATATATTCTTTTAAATTGTTAAAGAGTATTTTGTGAAGTTTCTTAAATAAGAAACCAGATGCAGTATCCGTCTTTGTTATTTTAGGCTTTGAAGATCTAGTCATCTTTGATTGTCCAAATTTTTATGGATAACTAAAGTCATTTTTTTTTTTATGGGAACATATTTTTACAAATGCATTAAAGTGCTAAGAATTTAAAGATATTTTTAACATTGTATATAAAAGAAATAACAATTTGGGAAAATGTTTAACAGTTGAATCCTGAATAGTATAAATAACAATAACAAGGAATGGAAAACTTGGCATTGAGGTAGAAAATATTGAAAATTGTAAGTAGTCAATGACATCAAATCTAATTGGAGCTATTTCCGCAAAATAAGAACATTTTCAAAATTATTGGATAACAGATAGATTGTTTATTTTCTGTAAATCTGATTCTCACAAGTAAGTTACTGATAAGGTATTGTAACAAAAGAATCATCAAAATATGAAACAAAAAATTTTAAACTAGTATTATTTGTTAATATTTACAGATATCTATGTGTCCATTTCCTTGTATTACTAATTGTATTTATAGGGTTCCTCTGTTGATAAAGAAACTGCCGAGAAGTTTTATGAATATTTAAATAGCAGCTTTAACCTCAATCAAATAACTAAAAATAACATTTGTAATTACGGCTTAGTAGAAAAAATTTATTCAAATTTATCAATGCACTAACAGACTAGCCATCTTTTTTTCTGTGATTTTATAATTTTGGCATTTTTTTTTACAGTAACATGACTGAAACATATTGCTAAGTTAAATGAACAACTGATATGATGTTCTTTTTACAAATATTTTACATTTAAAAAATCATTATCTTTACAGCTTTGATCTTGTGCAATATTACCATGTACTAAAAACATTTTGTACAACTGTGTATAGTTAGTCTAGCTAGTATTGGACCAATATTGTATTTTTTAGGTTTTCAATCCTGTTTCATAGATTTTTTAAACTTCCTATTATTTTATAAAAAGAAGAAGATGGAATAATTATTTCTAGTATCATTAACAATTATACGATCATTTAAGATGGAGAATGTCCAGTGCAAAATTTTTGAAACAGGACTGAGAAACTAAAAAATTACTCTATGTGGCCTAATATAATCATTTTGGTGGAGATTTTTTTCCTTTACACCTTTTGAATCTTCCATGTTATCAGAGTATGTATGAGTGTATATTTTTTGTTAATTGTCTCTTTTATACTTAAAGCTTTGTGTATGATTTTAATCAGCAGACATTATATAGATGGTACATCCATGGATGATAGATGATAAAAACAAATTCCTGACTTGTTATATTAAACATTGAATCTCTTATTGTCTTTATTATTCATCTAAAGCCTGTGCAATGGGGACAAATTATAGTGACTTTTAGAACAAACATTGTACTTCATATTAGTTTTGAAAATAATTTTATGAATTTTAAGTTTGTGTCTTGAAAAGGACCTCATACAAAGTACAATTTTACATTAAACTTTACTCCTGCAGATATGTATGAAAAAGATGCATCTAAATAGAACTTTATGGTTGCTTACATGTTTAAAACCTGTGTAAGATCAGTGCTAGCAAAGTACATTCATATTCAATAATGCAATAAGACGCTTGATATAGAATAAGAAGATGTGGTATGATTGCAAATACTACAACCATCCAACACTGTCCAAATGAAGCAGATCTAAGCAACAGTACAGGCTTTAACAATGAGCAAAACCCATACCATATAGTATCCTAAAAAGATCCAGAAATAACAAAAGGTGAATCATTTTAAATGGAAAAAAAGACTGCCTGATTTATGACAAAATATACAAAAAACAAATATGCCAGACAACAACCAGTGAATTACAGACTCCTGACTTAGGAGAGGCACATATAGAATGTTTCAGGGTTTAACATGTTTGTGAACCCTCAACATGGGACTTTATTGGCAAAACGGACAGTTCAGTAGAAAATTTACAGTTCAAATAAATATATTAAGCATGTTTACCTTTTTCATTATAAAAGAAAGGCTTACATGAATTGCAGCAAAAAAAATCTGCAATCGATTGTTCAAATGACCATTTAATTGAATAATAGCAATTCTTGTTGTTAAGATTGTGTGGAAGTGTAATGTAGAGTGTCTCAAAGTCATAACTGTCAACCGAAACCACCAAAACCACGCGATTTATCTAAAACATCCTAAAAGTTTTTTTTTACACTCCAGAAAGAATTAATTCAACTATTTTCATATGCGTTATTGCTTAAGATAATTTCACAAGTTTTTTTATAAGATTTGTTAAAAGCACAGAAACAGTACTAGAACACACTTGGCACTGAGGTGAAGCAATTTTTCAAGGATTTTCGGTGTAGTTTAGGTAACCATAATATAGAAGGGACCTTTAAATGTTCAGAGGAGGCCTCAAGCTGAGACATTGTAGTGACATGACTGATTCCTATTTGACTCTATGTGGATCACACAGCCTTGAATGTAGAAGAGTTTGATTTAATTAAGCCTTCCAAACGAAGTTTGGGAAGACTTATTGTTTTTGCTCAGTTATTATTATTATTCTTCTTCTTCTTCTTCTTCCGCCGCTTTTGAATTTGAACTTGTCCGCACCCGTTCTCCAAAACCGCTTGTCAGATTAACTCAGGGTTTCACAATATGTTAGACTAACATGTCTAGTGGTGCAATCAGGGTTTTGATTGTGCAATGGGGTTTATAAAGGGGTACTTTGAGGGGCAAAAAGAAAAGAGGGTTTTACTATAGAACACTGGGATTTTATTTTTTTAAATTTTCAAATGATTATAAATTGAAAACCGTTTGTGATAGACACAATCTTTTTAATTGAAAATGTTCTAAATGATAAAGCCCATTAAATGATATACAGGGTTAGTCCCCAGGGGTCACCCCCACCTCCTGCCATTTAAGAAAGTTCTAAAACCTTGTAAGTGGTCAAGATCCCCACCCCTAAACCATATATATTCTGGTTTGTCATGATAAAGCCATTCAAATGTAATAAAGGGTTAGTCCCAAGGGGTCACCCCCACCCCCTGCCATTTAAGAAAGTTCTAATATCTTCTAAGTGGTCAAGATCCCCACCCTTAAACCATATATATTCTGGTTTGTCATGCTAAGATGGTTTGAATGATATACAGGGTTAGTCCCCAGGGGTCATCCCTACCCCCTGCCATTTGAGAAAGTTCTAATATCTTGTAAGTGGTCAAGATCCCCACCCCTAAACCATATATATTCTGGTTTGTCATGCTAAGATGGTTTGAATGATATACAGGGTTAGTCCCCAGGGGTCATCCCGACCCCCTGCCATTTGAGAAAGTTCTAATATCTTGTAAATGGTCGAATTCCCCACCCCTAAACCATATATATTCTGGTTTGCCATGATAAAGCACATCAAATGAAAAACAGGGTTTGTCCCCAGGGATCACCCCCACCCCCTGCCATTTAAGAAAGTTCTAATATCTTCTAAGTGGTCAAGATCCCCACCCTTAAACCATATATATTCTGGTTTGTCATGCGAAGATGGTTTGAATGATAAACAGGGTTAGTCCCCAGGGGTCATCCCGACCCCCTGCCATTTGAGAAAGTTCTAATATCTTGTAAATGGTTGAGATCCCCACCCCTAAACCATATATATTCCTTTTTGTCATGTCTCGAACATTTGAATGACTTATACGGTCAGTCCCCAGGGGTTCCCCCCACCCCCAATGTTCTAATATCTTGTAAATGGTTGAGATCCCCACCCCTAAACCATATATATTCCTGTTTGTCATGTAATGAACATTTGAATGACGTATAGGGCCAGTCCCCAGGGGTTCCTCCCCACCCCCAATGTTCTAGTATCTTGTAAATGGTCGAGATCCCCACCCCTAAACCATATATATTCTGGTTTGTCATGCCAAGATGATTTGAATGATATACAAGGTTAGCCCCCAGGCATCACTAATGCATATAACTTTACTGGACCAAATCAATTTTCACTGGTCGTTGCCCAATGTCAGGCGACCCTGGGAATTACGAATTATGGGAGCTTCGTTTGGGAGACTTCGTAACAGCATCCTGTTACAATCATTTCTTGTTCTTAAGAACTTCGATGTAGTATTTACGTAATTATTTAATCAAACAGTCATTTCATTAAATCTACATAGGAAAACATGTTAATGATAATTTTTTCATTTCAATATTTTGAATAATAGTTGTTGTTAAAATGCTGCTATAAATAAATTCATAGTTAATTATTTTGAAAATTGAAATTTAGAGGTTTGATGACTGGCAATTTCCATGTGAGTAGGATATATAAACTGATTTCCAAATCCTCACAATTTAATAGTTCCATAAATAGTTGAGTTTTTTACTGTCTTGAGTAGGATTTCTGGATCATTTGTGGTATGACTGCTAATGAACCAGGTATGAATTGGTACAAATAATTGTAGAACTGGACATAATCAAATAGACATACATCGGACAAAACAAGCATGCATAATTCTATGTTTATTCGTGCTGAACGCCATTGCTAAAATGCTGCATAATTTCTATTGCATACATTAAATATAAGATTAATGATTTAAATTCAAGTGTGTAATTTTGCAATTATTTACATAATTCTGCAAGTTACGGAAATGTATGATATCTTGTGCACATCTTTAAAAACCCCGATTTAAGAGTATTTGCAATGACTGAAAGCTTGTTCAAAACCTATTGCAACTCCATAACTAAAATATCCGTAAAACTTTAAGATATGGCACCGCGGAGCCGTTTATACTAAGGGTTCTATGTGTAAAGTTGAACAGCCAAACCATTTCTTTGCATCTAAGAGTTAGGTCAAGATTTTAAGTATTTTGTGGTAGCGAAATCACTCACTGAATAATTAACAAGTTGTATTTAGATTTCGTTCATTGATAGTATGATTAGAGAATTATCTACAGTATATGGATCCTTCCTGAGTTTGGCCATGAACTGTGATTTGTAACAATACAGGTGCAAGAATGTTTTTAAGGTGCACAATAAGTGCCCTTTAGAATACCTGCTGCAACCAGGTTTAATCATCTCATCATAGTTCGAGTATTTAGTCTGTATAGTTGCAGCAAATAGATTTTCAATCAGATTTTCCAAAGGATCATTTAATTAAATCACACAAATTCTGTTGGTTAAATTGTGTGGAAATGTAGTGTAAATGTCGAAAAGTCATAACTGTCAATCATATAGAAACTATTATCAAAAACACGTAATTTGTCTAAAACATCCAAAGAAATTTTTACACAAAGAATAATCAATTTCATAAAGTTATTTTCATGTGCTTTATTACAAAAGCTAATAATCAGCTCTTTAATTGCAGAAAACAAACTTGTTAAAAAACAGAGAGATCAGTTGTACAACACTTACTAGGAGCCGAGATGAACCGATATTTAGATTTTCAGAGAGGCCTTAAGCTGAGATGTGAGAATGATACAATTGACTATTTTTGAATCTCCGTGGAGCTAACAGTCTTGAATGTTGGAAATCACAGTTTCTTTTATAAGAACTTGGCGTAGTATTTACGTCATACCACTACCACATTGTTGGCTGTTTTGTTTGCCGGATCAAACACACCACGCTTTCGAGTATTTGAAGTTTGCTTCTATTTTATGAAATGAGTGTATTATTAAACCTCTATAAGTTTCTAAAATTATACCAAAATGTTAATTGCTAATATACAATCGTTAAAACATTAATTAAAAAGAAATCAAGTGATGTTTTTAGCCGATTTGCTCCGTTTACACCAAGTTTTACATTAGGATTTTAAAGCATCTTTAATGACCTGACGACACCCTTTCCAATTCATTTTCGATGGAAAACGATATTTTGGTCATGTTTCAGAAAGTTTATATTCTCTCGATCTTGAATGGTATGGTTCATAAGGGCAACTTCTAAACTTCGATGTTTCTTAGACTCTTGTTGAAGGAACACTTCCAATATACTAACTGACGTATAATTTAAAAAAAATAAACGTCTTCCGTTTATTATGTTTACAAAATAAAAGGTAGATCTATGTTAAAATAGAGAAGTTTAAAGTTTTCAACTGTAGATTTATTAAATATGCAGTCAAGTAAATACAATGTACTCTGATGCCCTGTTTATAATAAGATTTTTATAAGAACAGTCATTTTTCCAAACCATTTCTTTTATCTTTGAAAGACTGGGACTTCCACGTATGGTGCTACGTAATTTATGGCAAAGAAATCATAGAATGAATCAATTCATTTAAGACCGTCATTACAGACACAAGCACACCGAACGAGTTGGAAAATATACAAACCGTTCATTTAGGCAAAAGTAGTTTACCG